CAGGGGCAGCCTCCGCACGCTCTCGGCTCCCCCCCGGCAGACGCTGCACTCGAAGACGTAAAACCTGCAAAGGAACCCCAAAATTACCCAAAAATTACCCCCAAATCACCCAAAAATTACCCCAAAATCCATCCTTGAATCACACCAAAATTACCCCAAAATCCATCCCTGAATCACCCCAAAATTAGCCCAAAATCACCCCAAAATTCATCTCAAAATCACCCCAAAATCCATCCCCAAATCACCCCAAATTCAGCCCAAATTACCCCAAATCACCCCAAATTCACCCCCAAATCCATCCCAAAATTACCCCAGAATTGCAGAAAAATCCCCCCAAAATAACGGGAAAAAACCCCAAAAAATCAGGAAAAAAATTCCAAAACCCCCCAAAAACCGGGAAAATTCCCCAAAATCGCCCAAAATAACGGGAAAAATCCCAAAGCTTCCCAAAATAATGGGAAAAATCCCCCAAATCCACCCAAAATAGCATTAAAAAAATCCAAAATCATGGGAAAAAGCCTCAAAAAATTGGGAAAAATTCCCAAATTCCCTAAAAACTGGGAAAAATCCCATAAATCCCGGAAAAAAATCGGGAAAAATCCCCAAACCCCTCCCAAAATAACAAAAAAAACCCCAAAATCACTGGAGAAAGCCCAAAAAAATTGGGAAAAAAATCCTGAAAATTCCCCAATAATCGTGAAAAATCCCAAAATTCCCCCAAAATCCAAAGAAACCAGGAAAAAATCCCCAAAATCAGCAAAAATCCCAAAACCCCTCCCAAAATAACATAAAAAAAAATCCCAAAATAATGGAAAAAAAAACCCCAAAATCACGGGGAAAAGCCCCAAAAAATTCCCCCAAAAATTCCCCAAAAATCCCCAAAAAATCCGGAAAAAATCCCCAAAATTCCCCAAAAACGCCAAAATTCCCTAAAACCCCAAAATAACGAGAAAATCCCAAAAGCCCCCCCCAAAAAAATCAGGAAAAATCCCCAAAATAACATTAAAAAGTCCCAAAATCACAGGAAAAAAAACCCAAAAAATTGCGAAAAAAAATCCCGAAAATTCTCCAAAAATCAGGAAAAATTCCCCAAAAAATCGGGAAAAATTCCCAAATTCCCCAAAACTTGGGAAAATTCCCCCAAACCCCCCCCCAAAATTCTGGCAAGGCCCCCGGGGGCGTCACCTGTCGCCGTAGAGCAGCGGCTTGGAGAGGCACTGGGTGCAGGCCTCGTGGAACCACTGCCAGCAGCGGCAGCACTGCAGCATCTTCAGGTTCCAGCTGGAACGGAATTTGGGAATTCTGGGAATTCCGGGAATTCTGGGAATTTCGGGGGAATTTTTTTGGAATTTTTTTTGAATTTTTTTGGGAATTTTTGGGGAATTTTGGGCGGTTTTAAAGGGATTTTAAGGGGATTTTGGGGATGCTTGGAGGAGTGGATTGGCAGCACTGCAGCGTCTTCAGGTTCCAACTGGAATGGAATTCGGGAATTCTGGGAATTCCGGGAATTCTGGGAATTTTTTGGGATTTTTTGGGGAATTTTTTGGGATTTTTTTGGAATTTTTGGGGAATTTTTTGGGAATTTTTGGGGAATTTTTGGGGAATTTTGGGGTTTTTAGAGGGATTTTAAGGGGATTTTGGGGATGCTTGGAGGAGTGGATTGGCAGCACTGGGAGCAACTTCAGGTTCCAGCTGGAATGGAATTTGGGAATTCTGGGAATTCTGGGAATTTAGGGAATTTTTGGGAATTTTGGGGGAATTTTGGTGGTTTTTAAGGGATTTTTTAGGGATTTGGGGAGGTTTGGAGGGGAGCACTGGGAGCACTGGGGGCTCTGCAGCATCTTCAGGTTCCAGCTAGAATGGAATTCTGGGAATTTGGGAATTCTGGGAATTTTTTTGGATTTTTTTTTTTAATTTTTCTGGAATTTTTTGGGAATTTTTTTGGAATTTTTTTGGAATTTTTTTGGAATTTTTGGGGAACTTCTTGGGATTTTTGGGGAGGTTTTTAGAGGGATTTTAAGGGGATTTTGGGGATGTTTGGAGGGGGGAATTGGAAGCACTGCAGCAACTTCAGGTTCCAGCTGCAATGGAATTCAGGAATTCTGGGAATTCTGGGAATTCTGGGAATTTTTTTTAAAATTTTTTTTGAATTTTTTTGGAATTTTGGGGGAATTTTTGGGGAATTTTTGGGGTTTTTAGAAGGATTTTAAGGAGATTTTGGGGGCGTTTGGAGGAGTGGATTGGGAGCACTGGGAGCAACTTCAGGTTCCAGCTGGAACGGAATTCGGGAATTTGGGGAATTTTGGGGAATTTATGGGAATTTTGGGGGTTTTTAAAGGGATTTTAGATGATCTTGGGGGACGATTTTGGGGCCGTTTTTGGGCTGTTTGGGGTGGGGTTTTTTTGGGGCGGAATTTTGGGATTTTGGGGGGGAATTTCAGGATTTTTTGGGGAATTTTGTGAATTTCAGGAGTTTTTTGGGATCCTCCCTGCCCAGAACCCCCCTGCACGCAGGGGCAGAGCTGGAGCTCGGGCAGGAGCGAAATTTGGGGCCGTTTTGGGGTTTCGAGGCCGTTTTGGGGATGATTTCGACCGGGATTTCTTTGGGAACGGCCGGATTTCCTCGGGATTTTTTTGGGATTTTTTTGGGATAATTTTTTTGGGGAATTCCGGGAATTTTGGGGCCGTGACTCACTGTCCGGGCCCGCCGCAGTAGCAGTAGCAGTGCTGGAG